TCAAAGCCCTTTAACAAACAAATTCAGTCTATCTTAGAGATTGTTATCTGTGTCACTGTGTACTCAGCTAGATAAGCCTATAGGATGCTGTTTGGATCCATAAGCAATTTTATCCTATCCATCTGTCTATGAAAATTGAAGGAACATCCATCAATCATGAAGCAGATGTAGAAATCAGCTGGCTAGAAGCCATCTTTCTAGCTTTTTTACCTGGTTGCATTTGCCTTGTTCCAAATGTGTTTAATGATAGTATTTTGGAACCTTCCTCGACAGTTGCACCCTATCTGTTTTAATTTTTTTCAGTGGACATTTTGCTAAATAGAACTCTTTTAGAGCCTGTCATGCCCTTATTTCTGCCATTTGCAGGGTGGGGTGGGTTTCTGACACACTTCAAGAGACCTTTCAGTTGCTCAGGAAGCCTCCTTCAAGAACAGTAGAACACTGTCCTTCTTTTTCCTTCCCTTTGCAATTTTTTTGAGAGGATCTTCTGCTGTGGTGTTCCCAGCTTTCACTATGCTAGTGAGAGAGGACAGTGCCTAACATTCAGTCAGTTCAGCACGTCAGCTTGTAATGTTTCCTTTGGCCACCAGGCCAGCACCTGGAATGATCAATGTTTCTGAGAAGAAACGGTGACTGCATTTCAAAGAGTTGAGAAATGTGAGGAATGTGAGTGACAGAAAAGTGCAAGTGCCTTATCACTATTGTCCCATGGCTAAGTTTCAAATGTAAGGAGAGTTCAGACTGTTTTCCTGTTCTGTGCGTTGTATATCCTCTTAGGGAATTCCTTGACTTGATTGGAGTGCTGTGACCTAATTTGAGTTTTGGAAGTTATTAAGCGTGACTGATATCTTGCTCATTTTTCTTCCTTTCCGTTTTCCATTCTTTATACCCTGATAGGAACAAGTGGATGCAGAGAAGTTCAGCTCTTTGCATATAGGACAGATTGACAGGCAGAGCCAAGCATTTATTGAGAATGTTGTGAGGTCAAAAATCACTTGTAAACTTTATGATAATCTGTAAGATATAATATTGCTTAATTGTTGTGTTAACATATGGTTTTAATTTTGGTGGAATTACTGCTGCTATTTTTATGTCTTTTCCTTTCAATGATATAAACTAGAGACATTAAAATGTTTCTTTTAATTAGAGGTTCTGTGATGCCTACGCTTTAGAGGAGTAAATATCTGAGACTTAAATACCTTTCTCAGGAAAGGTGATTATTTGCATTATATGTATTCATAAGAGCTGTTTTTCCTTAGTTGATTCACTGTTGTCATAGTGTGGCCTGAGGTGGGGAGGGTGGGATGCACCACAGCTGTTATTAAGAGGTGATGCAGTGCTCAATACCTAACATTGATTTCTTTTAAAATGGTGTTTATTAACCATTCATGAAATTCTGCCTTTTTTTTTCATTTTTTCTTTTTTTTTTTTATTTTTTTTTGAGATGAAGGGGTGGGTTTTTGGTTTCAAATTTTTTTCCCCATTTTCACCTGTCTGACCAGCCGCTGACTCTTTCTCTTTCTCTCCTGCTTTCAATGCATCTTGGGTAGAATTGTGGAACAAGCACCAGGAAGTGAAAAAGCAAAAATCTTTGGAAAAAACGAGTAAGGAAATTAAAAAAATGTAGAAACTGACTCCTCCAGCCTCCCCATAACTGCCAACTCCCCAGGTGCAGGGTGAGCTTGCATCTATGGCACACAGGGTTTATACCCACAAGAACAAAGGTCTATCTAAAGAAAGTCTGCATTAGAGAGACCAAACAGAACAGTTTGGCCTAGGGAAATTGTTCTCAAATGTCTCTTTTTTTTTTTTTCTTTCTTTTTTTTCTTCCCCTGAATGTTGCCTTCTTCAAAGATGGGGAAGCAGGTATTCTGCATCCTCACCATATCAGATAAATATGGAAGAATTTTAAGATAGTTCATCTGCTTTCTTAAAACTTTAAAGACCAGTTTTGTTTAACAAGTTATTGACATGGATATATTGATTGACTGAATATTACTGGAATGAAGAATTCTGTGTTCAAGCCATGGGATGGCAAATTTTGTTACCTGGACTCAACCATGAACAGTCTGCAACAAGAAATACTTCTGAGGGGGAGAGAGAAGGTGTATGTGAAGAATTGTATTTAGTGATGGCTGCTGGAAAGTAGCCTCATAAAAAGGAATCAACCTGGTTTTGTTTTTTATATCACATATTAAAGGAGTGAAAGAATTTGAGGCTGTTTACAGAGCCTAAACAATAGTATAAATCTACACAAATCTGAACATCTATTAAATACGGTAACGGATAAGATATTGAACGTGTACTATCTGTAGGGGTAGTACAAGGTTTTTCTGTTTTGGTTGTCACTGTTGTAAATAGGGACTATGACATAAGGACAATAGCTAGTTTATAGCAGCCATTTTGGGATAGATGTTTCCTAACCGTAAGCACAGTTTGTACTTTGCAGAGCTTATGCCCAGTTTACAGACTGAAGGTCTGGGGAGGATTGATAGATAAGATAATGAAATGATAAATGAGTGAAAATTCCTGACATTCTGACTAGGCCTGGATTTACTTTGATTAGTTGTAGGCTCCTCAGTTAAATACTTCTGTTAAGTACAAAGTAGAATCTGGAGTTAGTTCAGAGACACTGAGGGAAGTGGGGCACCTCTGCAGTACAGCTTGCTGTATTGAAGTTTTGAGTTGCTTTCTGCTGGGGTAGGAGTGTGTGTGAGACAGACACATAGCACATACACACACCTACTCTCCTAAACTGAGCCTTTCTGGTAGGTGCCTACACTGGGAGGGATAAATTGAGCTTTCAGTGTTCTGTGTGTATTACACATATAACTCCATAAAGAAAGAAAGGGGAGGTTTGTAAGTGCCTCTAAATTGACGATGACAACAATGTGATTGTGGTTATTGTGCTCCTTAAACTCAGTTACAACTCTCAAATATCTGAACTGTTTCAGTCAGTTTCAATTCCTTTAAAAGTCAGATTGTCAGAAATATATCTGAAGTATGTGTTGGGGCAGGAAACTCTTAAATTGCTTAAAACACACAGCTGAAATTTAATGTTCTTGCTGTACTAATGAGATATTAAACTTTTTGCTGTATTGTTATTCAGAACTAGAAATGGTGGTCACTTGAATAACTGGAAATAGACATCTAGAAGTGAGCAACACATATTTCAGTGGGAAAAAAGATGCCAAATTCTTAGAAAATATATTTTTAGTTATTTTTTTCGGTAAAATTTGTTTATGCTTTTTCTTTCCTAGAATCTTTGAGGATTTGATTTACAGTAACTAAGGCATATGGATTTAGAGGCAGAACACTATAACAAATGAAGAATACTTTCTGTAAACACTTCACAGGAAGAATTGGTGGTTGAGTAGTAAGCTAGTATGGTCTGCACAGCCCGCTTATGGCTTGGCTATCCATGAGTTTACATATCATCTCAAACTCACTCCCACAAATCTTTGTATATTATCCTTCTCTCTCTCTCCTCCCTTCCCTTTTTCTTTCCTTTTCGCTGTCTTACCCTCTCTAATGTTACATATATTACAAACATGTTCATAATTCCCAGGTGGTTGTGATCAGTGGTTATAGAGATAGTGGCATTGTTTGCTTAGAGATACTGGATATGGTCATGGGTATATAATACAAATATTCCAGCAGCTGATCATGTCTTCCTGTTACTGAATAGTTGGCAGATATGGATATGGCAGAAGTGTTGCATTCAGTCTCTTTCCATTTCTGAGAGTATTGACATTCTGTGTACAGTCTAAAACACATTTTTTCTTGCGTTGTTACTACTTTTGTTCAGTGCTTATCCAAATTTCTTTTCAGGCTCTATCTTTCCATCATTCTCTTTTCCTTCTGCCATCCCATCAGAGGACAATAGATGATAAGATTCTAGAAGTGCATGGGAAATTGAACATAAAATTCTTTATCCTTTTTTTCCCTTCTTTGTTTTCGGATTGTCACGTTAATGAATGCATGACTTAAAGCTTGCTGATTCCCTCTCTCACTACTGACCTGTGTGATTGCCAACTCTGGAGAGCCATATGTTAATGTAATTGGGGAATACTGTGAAGTACAGCATCAAACAAGCTTATTCCTTGAAAATCTTAGTGGGGTAACATGTTCTTGTCATGTGTTCCCCGATTTTTGCCTAGATAGTTGCAGTGGGCAACCAAAAAACACTCAGTCCAGGCCTTTGAGCAATTTAGCTGTTCAAAAAAGGATTCTGACTTTAAATAAATAGGTATCTTTTTTATTATCAAGAATAAAGGAAGTGGCTTGCTAGAGTTGAATGGCAACTCCTTTGCATGTGTTATTGTAACTGGAAGCTACTTGACCTTTGTCTGTTCTCTTTTCTGTCTTGAATGGCTAAAAAAGGTACTGTTTAGTTATAGTCACCCCTGGACTATGCCTTTGGAGTATTTAAAATTCAAACTAATGTTCAAAGACTAGTAGATGTATCCTACTGGCCTTGTTGTTTTCAGGACCAAGGAATAATAATAATAATAGTAAAAAAAAGAAATCAAAGATATGAGAAAGCAAATCTGTTTTCATGGTACTATTTCTGCTTCCAGTCTGTCATCCACTTTCTACCATACTGTTTTTTCTTGGTACAGTAATGATTTGCTTTTTCCTTTGTTCAGGAACAGAAGGTGTGAAACAATTTGATTTGGGAGAAACAGATGAGAAGAAATCCCAAATCAGTGCAGACAGTGGCCTCAGTTTGGCCTCAGGTTCTCAGGTCAGTGACTCCTATGCTTACTTTATTTATATGGCAAGAGAGAGGATTCTTCTATTCATTACTTCATTATAGGAAGACTTACAGGGTTTGAAAATTCTTGAGAGGCACATTTGGCAGAATTTCTTCCCCTCTTTCTGTAGGGGATCTTTTGAACTCAGTTACAGAACAGTGTGATCTTTTTGACATGCAGACAGCAGTTTCTGCTTGGTTGGCTAAATAAATTAAAAAAGCGTAAGACACATGCTTCCAGACCCCAGAGGAGTGGGAGGTGGTGTTCTCTCATTATGGTAAAGACTAATCTGACTCTTCTTCTTGTCCTTTATATGTTTTGGTTGCAGAAGAGTGATTTTGACTCTATTCCCAGTGGAGGACCAACAGTTATGGTCCGAAGTACAAGCCAGGATTCTGAAGTCAGCACTGTGGTAGGATATGCCCAAAGTGAAATCTTGGTGTGACTGACTGCTTGTTAACGTGGTGAAGGGCATTTCGTGCCTGCATTTTGTGTGGTATTGGCAGCATTCTGTCACACATGCATAATGTATGTCTGTGAGTTCTCTCTCCAGAGCCTCTGAGTGGGTGGCAAGCATGTGTGTCTGACAACATACATAATGCTGTCTTTACTAGCAGATTGCATCCTTCATATATGGTGCTTATTACTCTGACATATTCCTGCCTATTGGTGTATTTATGGAATTGATAGATTACAACAACTCTATAAATATGTCTTAGTTTTGTATAAACCATCTATAAAAAATAGATGTTTAAAAAGGTAACCTGAGAGCAGAAAAGGCAGATAGTTTGGTGCATTAAAAATGAAAACTAATTTTCTCATATATTGTCTGAAAGCTCTTGAATTACATCAAAATATATCTGTTTACTTTCCAATCAACTGTAAGGCCTAGAGGGAAAAGGTATCAGGAACGCATTTAGTAAAAAAAAGAATGAACCTTCTCCCTATCAGATTATATGATATTGCATATTCCAGGGATGAAAACCTAAGGAAGTTTCTTTTGTTGTTGTTGTTGTTGTTTGTTTTTCTCTCTGTACTGTTGAATACCTGTGAATATCTGGCCTTCCATGATCCTTTCTCAGCCTGTAACAAGATTAATACTCTGATTGTTTTTCTCAAATGGACAAAAAAATTGTATTCTCTCTTATACTGCCCCAGATAGAAGAGGGGTCTAGAAGAGCTGGTTGATATTCAAGTATGTCCTTCTTCAAGCTCAAGAAAAGTCCATCCCAACAAGTAGGAAACCAAGCAAAGGCAGCAAGAGACCTGCATGGATGAGCAAAGAACTCCTACTGAATTCAGACATAAAAAGGAAGTATACAAGAGGTTGAAGTAGGGGCAGGTGACACAGGAGGAGTATGCATTTTCTGTCTCACCTTGCAGGGATAGGGTTAGGGAAGCCAGTATGGACCTGGAGTTGAATCTGGCAAAGAATGTGAATGGAAACAGAAACAAGTACATAAGCAATAAGAGAAAGGACTAGGGAAAATGTAGGCCGGCTGCTGAATCTGGTGACTGGTGGAAAAGACTGAGGCATTTTGGGGCATTCTGTGCCTCAGGTTTTTACCAGTAAAACTGGCCCTCAGAAATCCCAGGCCTTGGAAACCAGAAGAAGAGTGTAATGAGAAAGATTTACCTCAGCTTCAGTAAAGCTCTTGACACTGTCCCCTGTAATCTAGACAAACTGATGAAGAATGGGTTAGGTAAGTAGATTGTGAGATGAACTGAAAGCTGGCTCAACCACAGGGCCAGAGGGTTGTAATAAGTAGCACAAACTCCATCTGGAGACAGGTCTCTAGTGGTGTACCTCTGGGGTCAGTATTGGAGTCAACACTGTTCAACCTCTTCACTGATGACCTGGATGATGGTACAGAGGAAGTTTGCAGATGATATAAAACTAGGAGGAATGACTGACATTAGAAGGAATGACCAGATGGTTGTGCTGCTATTCAGAGGGCCTCAACAGGCTGGAGAACTGGATAGACAGGAATCTGTGTGGTTCAGCAAGAGGAAAATACCAAGTCCTACATATGGAGAGGAATAACCCAGGTGCCAGTACACACTGGAGGCCAATCAGCTGGAAAGCAACTTTGGATCTCGGGATCCTGCTAGACAACAAGCTGACTGTGCCAGTAATGCACCCTCATGGCAGAAAAGGCCAATGGTGTTCTGGGCTGTATTAGGAAGAGTAGGTTGTCTGCAGGTTGAGGGAGGTGATCCTTCCACTTTACTCAGCTCTGGTGGGGTTGCATGTGTCCAGTTCTGGACCTCCCAGTACAAGAAGGATAAAGATTTACTGGAGTGAGTCCAGCTCAGGGATACAAAGATGATTAAGGGATTGGAGCATCTTTCATAAGAGGAGAGGCTGAGAGAGCTGTGACTCTTCAGTCTGGAGAAGAGAAGGGAATGTAATCAATGGGTGTAAATACCTGATAGGAGCAAACAGAGGCAAGGGATCTAGACTCTTCTCAGTGGCACTCACTGAGGGCAGGACAAGAGGCAATCAACATAAAAATTAAAGCACAGTAAATTCCATCTGAATACAAGAAAACACTTTTTTATGATGAGGGTGGTCAAACACTGGAGCAGTTTGCCCAGAGAGATTATGGGTTTTCCATTTGTGGAGATTAGAAAAACCTAACTGGACATGGTCCTCAGCAACATACACTAGCTGACCCTGCTTGATGAGGGGGACTCATGTATAGATGGTCTTAACAGATCCATTCCAACCTAAACAGTTCTGTGATTTTTCTGAAGGGCTTTTTGAGTCTTCCCGCTGCGTAATATTTGATGGAAAGATAATGTTACTGAAGAAGAAAAGGCAAATGTAGCGCTCAGTTGTACTGCTTCTTTTATGCATTAAGAAAAAATGTTTTACAGCTTTTCTATCCGCAGTGTCTTTGCCTATTGAAGCTAATTGCTTTATTTTCTCCACAGGTTAGTAACAGTTCTGGAGAGACGTTAGGAGCAGACAGTGACTTGAGTAGCAATGCTGGTGATGGCCCGAGTGTGGAAAATGGTGGCAATCTGGCAGGATCCAGAGGCACTGTGTCAGACAGCGAAATTGAGACAAACTCTGCTACTAGCTCTATCTTTGTAAGGGCATTGCAAATTTCCCTTTCTTCTTTTTTTTTTGAAATGAATCTTGCACAATAAGCATTTCAATATGTGTGCCTGTATGGAAGAGGATCTCTGGTTCTGTTCTAAGGGTTAATCAGCAATGACTTCAAATATTAACATGTCAAAGATGTATTTTTATGTAGATCCACATATCAATCTTAATTTCCTGTGTAACGGACGGTTCTTTGAAAGTAGTAGGTTGCACCACCTTACAGTTTCTAGCAATATTTAATTCCCCATCATTCAGTATTTCTCTCAACCAAGTGGACATTTAATTGTCCTTCAGAGGCAATACAATGTTGAGGGCTTTGTTTGTCCTTACCTAAGAGGAAAATTTCCTGTTTCTTGGGAGCAGCTGAAGTGGACTGCAAGAAGGAGCCCTGCAGAGTACAGAGTTAAATTGTCTGACACCTCTTGTATTATTTCAGGCGAAGTCTCACAACCTGAAGCAGAGTGTGAAGGATGGCAAAGGCAGTACTCCAGGGAGAGGTCCAGAGGATGGGAACCAACGTGTCTATCTATATGAAGGACTTTTGGGTAAGCTACTTTTTTGGTGGGGAGGGAATCCTTTAGCCTGAAGTTCAGATGAAGTTATGTCTGGGACATACTGGAATTTTTACATTCCCTGACAGTCTGACAGTGTTTTTAACTTATTACTGTTGTCCATGCTGGGTGCATCAGGTCATTCAGAGTAAAACCAGAGATTTGCTGGGGAAATTGAGTAAGAGGAGATGGGTGTCAGTGGTGTAGTTTGCATAAAATGTAGTTTGTCCAAGTCTCTTGCTGTTCTTGAATATGAATTCTGTAAAACGTGAAGAAGGGGAGAAGGAATTTAGCTATGCATGGAAGTCTAAAATATATCACTGATCTTGAAAAAATGTAATTCAGCCTAAGTCATTGAACAGAAGGCTACTAAATTCCGAATATTAATGGCCTTCAAGTGTATCCTTGAGTTAGAAGTATATTGGCTTTTTTGGAATGTATTTCATCTGGACTTGCTGTTAATCAAGAGCTCTCTCTTCCTGTGTTTTTTATCCTTTCCATTTCTCGTTCCTACCTGCTTGGAATGGTGCAGGTAGGGATAAAGGATCTGTCTGGGACCAGTTAGAGGATGCTGCAATGGAAACCTTCTCTATGAGTAATAATCTTATCTTTCCACTTCTCTGTGTGTTTGCTGTGATCTGTGTTTGTATGAGATATTTCTGTTTCTTTCGGGTAGTGTTAACAGTTTATGGAAGAAGGTATACTTATTAAAGACTAGAGATGAGAGGTATTTTTGTGTAAGGGTTTAAAAATATTATGCCATTAATGAGAATGAGAGGTATATGTTGTATTTTTCTTTACACTTTTCTTCAGCTGTGTTATTGCTTGTGGTTTATAAGTAACCTCTTTTTTATTTTCATTGTGTGTTGCTTTATGGTATTTTCAAGGAGTGGGAATGAGCAGGAATTAATGGTAAAGTATTTGACTTGAGTTAATGGAATAAATGCTCGGTTTTTGTATACATTGCGTAGGCAAAGAGCGTTCAACTTTATGGGACCAGATGCAGTTCTGGGAAGATGCTTTTTTGGATGCTGTAATGTTAGAGAGAGAAGGAATGGGGATGGACCAGGGACCTCAGGAGATGATTGACAGGTAAGTTCTTTAGTAGACCTTTTTCCTCCTCATTGTTTCACCTGGGGCTGAAATGGTAAAAAAATTTTAATTATTTTAATTCTGGTTAACATGCTATTGTCCCTTCGTAACCTTGTTACTATACCTGACTGTTCCACAGTGAATCTTTTATCTTTCTTCTGACCAGTGTCTTCTGATACTGAAATGTTTATCGTTAGTTACAATAACATACATTTTTTTTTAACTCTTGTGGAGACATAATGTTTCCAGAGAAATGGATAATGTAAGCATAATCGCAGTATGAACAGATGGAATAGACTAGATAAATAGAAAAGCAAGAGATTTCTGTGGCGCAATGACTATAGTCTGGAATAAAGGGAGATATCAGTGTGTTGACGTAAAGTGAAAGAATTAAATGTTTTCAGAAACGGAATTTTGAGCCTTCTCAAAATGCAAAGTAACTTATAGATGTTTTTACAGTTTGTAGTTAAAGTGAACAAAAAACCCGTGAGGGAACCCCTCTCTAAAAATAGCTGCGTGATTGCTTAAGGCTAGACTACTTCTGAGATGTCAATCTTCACTACCTACTTTCCTCTTCTCCCCCGCCCCACAGCTCTGTTAATATCTGATCATTCTCTGCTCTGTCTAATGTCTGTAGCTGTAGTACCTACACCCATGCTATCATGTAACATGTTACGGTGATAATGATCACTAGTTTATGGAGTGCTAGTTGGAAAAGTGTTTTTCCGCAAACTACCTACCTTGCTGGAAAAAGAGAGTGCTTGTGCACTTCCTTGATGAGTTTTTTGCTGCCTTGCAGGTTTTTTTTAAGCTCTAAAGACAGATAGCTCTTGTCATATTACTGAGTTGTATGTTCCTCTTCTGGCAGTTGTAATTGTCATGGAGCTGTGACTGCAGAAAAGAGGAAATGGATAAGCTCAGCGGACCAGTAACAACTTTCCTACTGACCAGTTGTTATTTGCTTCAACTAGTTAATAATTAAGGGAAATGTTTAAGTAGTGATCATGGTGTTCTACTGGAAAATGCCCATGTTTTTAGAGATTTTATTTGCCATACACTTAACAAATAGTGCGCTATCTCCTGCCAGTGCTGTAGCTAAGGAAGAAGAGGAAGAATTCCTGTGAATCTGCTTCAGATCTAGCTTTTCTTGCAGGTATCTTTCCCTGGGAGAACATGATCGAAAGCGTTTGGAGGATGATGAGGACCGCTTGCTGGCTACACTGCTGCATAATATGATTGCCTATATGCTTATGATAAAGGTGATTTCTTTTTCTTTTTAATAGATTGCTTCTCAGATTTGGGCAGTATATTTTGTTGATGTCCTCTTGAAACTATACATCTCTGTTCACAGAACTCAGAACAATGGAATATAAAAGAATATTGTAAAACCTCTAATCTTAATGAAGAAATGTTGTCTCGAGTTTATGCAGTTCTGTACCATGGGTATGCATATACCGTGACACTGAAAGTAGAAATTTACTATTTCTGCTAGTAACTTCAGATAATATTTTTATTTTTAAGAGTATAGGTTATAATTTAGGTAGAGAGTATCTTCTAATCTTGTTTCCTCACAGCTGCACATTCCAAATGTGGGCAGATTGTGAACATGTTTCAATAAGTTAACAAGAAATTTGCTGTTTCAAGTAAACAACCTTTTTCTTTCTCAATGATCTGTCCATATACACCTTAAAGGCGTAGGTGTCTACTAGAAATATCTTCCTTTTATTCTGAATAATTTCTTAGATAGGCCAAATCAAAGTCCCTGGAAAATCAGTCTTTTAAATTTTTTGTCTTGTTTAGAACCAGCTTAAGTGCGTGGTTTTACCTGTCAGAGATTTGATGCGCTGTGCTGTCCAGTGCAGCAGCTTGACAGTAAGGATAGCTCTACAGAGGTGATAGTTTGATAACTTTGGCTTTTTAAATGCTGAGACATCGTACCATAGATGGAAAATGTGTGATACTCAACCAGTGGAAAAAATTACGTAATTTTTTGGGGGAGAGGAAGATGCGGTGCAGAGTGGCAGGTTGGAAGGAGGAGTGGGGAGAGAGGAAGAAAGTATTGGTTTTTCCTGACACAAATGGAATGTGAAGGTAAGTTTTAAGATGGAATTTGAGTATATTTGGAACGAGTTTATTTCAGAAGAAGACTGTGGGATTTGGCCATTAGGACTTGCATTGCTGTAATACTTAAAGTAGAATTAATAATAAGTAGTGCAGCTACTTTCATTGAAGATGTAAAAGAGGAGAGCAAATAATACCGATTTCAAAAGGCTCTCATGAGACATGTTGGTAGAGTTAGTCTCACAGCGGGAGGATGTCTTTTGGTGTGGTGAAAATAATCAGATCCCCAAGAAAACAGTTTCCTGGCAGAAAGGGATAAGGAGGCAAGCAGGATTTTCTACCTTTGAAAATGATGTCTCTCTGGGCCTATCAGTTATAGATGAAAAAAAAGTAGTGCAGAGGATCAGAGAGTTGTGATAAAAATACAGTTCCTTTCAGTACATCTTCAGAGATGCTCAGAAATGAGGTTAGGTTGAAGAATTGGGCAAAAAAAAATTGTGAGGTGTTGTCTGTTTGGTTGGGGGTTTTTTGTTATTGTCGTGGTTGCAATTTTTCCCCTGAATATAAGTCTTGGGATACAAGGTTGTGGATCTAGAATTTGGTGTGTTTCTTTGTATGTAGGACTTCTTTCAAACAGGCAGAATGAAGGCCTTAAAACTGTACCAAGTTATGTCCTCTTAGGGCAGCTTATCGGAGAAACTGCAAAGTTGGAAGGCTTTCTGTTACTGGAGAGATGAATTCTTCTGAACTATCAAGGGAAGCATAATCCTTGATATTTTAATTTATTTTCTTGTTTTGGTTAGCAGAGCCTAGTAGGTTTTACTTTCAAAAAATCTTGAAAAACACAATGCTTTCTTTCAAGTGCAAAGAATTCTTGTCAAAGGAAGGAAGCAGGTTGAGTTTGTTTTGTATGCTCCGTAGCGTTAAGGTCATAATGCCAAAATGTTAAAAAAGAATGTCTGATCCAGCTTGAAGTCAGCACTCAAGCACGAGCATACTGTCTTGAAGCCTTTATTATCAGTGGCTGACATTCACAATAACCTTTTGAAATGACACCTAAGGCAGAAATATTTTGCTTCTTAGCTTTTCTGCAGCTCATCTTCAGGAGGATCCTTCTGCTGTTTGAAGACTATTATCTAGAAATGTTTGTTAGAGCCCCAGCCTAGTGACAAGGAAACAGGTGGTAGAAGAATGAGAATTCTAAAAGATGCCATTTTGTGTTAAGGGCTCCACAGCTGATGAAATCAACTCTTTGCAGGGGAAGAGGTGGAGAAGCTAGCCTGGCCAATGAGGCTCATCACATAAGTGGCAACATGGAGAACTGAGGCTTTTGATGTCAGTAGTTGGAAGTGGCAGGTAGTGGAATTGCTGCTTGTGTGCACAGATAGGCAGGAAATCTGTTGTGCATAGTATCATTTGCCCAGTAGCTGAAAAAAGTGGTGCATGTGCAACTTTTCCGTGTACTACTGGGCTAAAGAGGCCCTAGCATGACTTAATTGGAGATCAGTTGTTTTGGCAATTGAAACAAAGGCATATTTGGGACAAGATAGAAGTTGCCTTCTGTGAATAGACAAGAGTGTTTGACTGTCTTTATGTCTGCTTTCTAGGTGAACAAGAATGATATTAGGAAAAAGGTGCGGCGTCTAATGGGGAAATCACATATTGGATTGGTGCACAGCCAGCAGATAAACGATATTCTAGACAAACTTGCCAATCTGGTAAGTAAAACAGTGATGATGTGTCTTTGGGATCTACAGTGCAGAAAATAAATTGCCTGAAAATTCTTCTGTATATTCTCTGCAACACTAATTTAAAAATATTAAAAATAATTAAATTGAATTATTAAATACTGCCTTCACATGCACACAATACTGTATGACCCTGTTTATAGTGTTACAGTGTTATGCAGTTATCAATTAGAGCTGCCATACAGATAGGTATAAACATTACACCGATGTACCACTGTTCTATGCAACCCTAACATTTTCTTAATATCGCTTTCACGGGCACGCAAACCTTTATTATTACAATGACTGTAAGAAGTGTTTAGTTTTCTATCAGTTTCCAGGTCATTATAAGACTTGTAGCAATCAGTTCTTATACTAAACTATTTCCACTATCAGCTGTCACGCAGAATAAACATTGCATCGTGTAATGATTACTAAGAATATAGGCTAAAACTTCAGTTAATAACTCTGGCTACCTTTTAATACAGCCATCATCAGGGTGGACACAAGTTAGGGCCCTTTGAATGGTAATTTTTCAAAGCATTTTTACATTTGGAACTTAGTTATAAGCACAGAGAAGACATAAAATTTTCTTACAAATTATTTGGAAAAATGAGACCAGTTTACTCCAATGTTACTGGAACCGAGACACCTCACTGTCCCATACTGCGTATGGTATCGGTGTGAATGTACTTGTATGCTCTGATAACTGTCGTAGTCACACTTGTTGAAACTAAACTCACTAGAGTGACTCGCTTAAGGCTTTGTCCAAGATTGCCTCCAATCAACTGTGTTAAAAATAACCTTTTTCTTTTATTTGTTGAGAATGCTTCTAGTGTCACCTAATGGATTTTCTTTTTTGATAGATAAGGAGAAATTGATTTCAAAGTTCATTAATGATTGGATGTGGGCTTCTTTCTAGAATGGACGGGAACTCCCCGTGAGACCCAGTGGCAGCCGCCATATCAAGAAGCAGACTTTTGTAGTACATGCTGGGACAGACACAACAGGAGACATATTTTTCATGGAGGTAGAGACAAGAATAAAATGAATGCAACTAGTAGCAGACGAAATAAGAGAAATAACACTAGAAATCTTACATAATATTTTGTGCTCCCAGGTATGTGATGATTGCATTGTGCTGAGAAGCAACATTGGAACTGTATATGAACGTTGGTGGTATGAGAAACTCATCAACATGACTTACTGTCCCAAAACAAAAGTGCTCTGCCTCTGGCGCAGGAATGGTCAGGAGACGCAACTGAACAAGTTCTACACAAAGAAGGTGTGCATTTTGTTTAAAACACACAATACTGCAGGGATAGTTGCACAGAAAGAACAAGTCCTTTGTGTGTCATATTTCATATTTAATCAAAAAACAGCACTCTCCTTCCAGCACTGGTTACTGAACTGCAAGGGCTGCTTAGTAACACTGCTGTCTGAAGCTGGCATTATGCCTTATTATTTACCTGAAGACAATAGTATACCAGAAAGTAATTTAAGAAATGACATGTAGCTTTTATTTTATTTTTTTTGTTAGAAGAAGGAAAACATCAGTGTTACTAAATTTTGTGTGAGCTTGCAGGCTTGTGAAGATAGTGAAAATATTATGATAGATTCATGGGGGAAAGCCTAAATAAAATGTCTTAGTAGTTGAGTTAATTTTGTAGTTTTTGATCATAGAATCTGCTGTGGTTTTACTTAAATGAGGTTCACACAGGCCCACTTCTGCAGCTTGTCAAGGTCCATCTCAATGACATGCCTTCCCTACAGCTTTTTGACCTATCTACAGTAGGAAACTGTGTAAACTTGGCTAGAATGTGCCAAGCCATGAACTCTTTTCTAGCTTGTGAAATGAAATGCTATTAGTTTCTCTACAAACTTGAAAAATAAATAGAAAAACGAACTGGTGATTGGGTGTGCTTGGACTTTTATAGCCTTTTTGTCATTATGCAGTGCATGGGGATTGTTATTTTTGTAGAGTCTTATAACCTTGCTGTTTTTTTCCCTCTCTTAGTAATTTGGAGAAATAACATTGTATTACTCTTCTTATACCTGTCAGTGTCGGGAACTATACTACTGTGTAAAAGACAGTATGGAGCGAGCAGCAGCAAGACAGCAAAGCATTAAACCAGGTACGAGATCTTGCTTGTTGGGAACATTTGTGTGTTAATCTGCAATCAGAAAATTTTTTTTATTAGTAACTTCCTTGAACGTAGTCTCATTTTTCTTGGAAATCTTAGGGTGACTTTGTACATCCATGTGTGTATAACAGAGTGCTATCATTAGCTTGCCCTCTTTACCTCGCTCTCAATACAGACACAGTCAAAACACCCCTATAAAGCAGAGTTACCTGTAAGGGGGACTAGCTGCCAGTAAAATGGCAACTAGAAAAGACTATGCAGCATCAAATTCAGTTTCTCTCCATGGTTGGCTAACTACTGCTTATATTCCTGATTGAGACATAGAATTATGTTGTCTTCTTTGTGTTGAGAATGGAGGCTAATAAATATGCTTGTTTGTGTTACTCAGTCTTATACTAGGAAATCTTTATATTTTTGTAAACACCCCTTTTCCTGTTGAGTCCAAAAACTATAGAAAGTGGATTTGCCATTTTGGAAGACTGAGTTCTTGGGAAGGCAATTTTCCATTTTTTTTTAGTTCTCAGAGAGGAGCAGGTGCTGTATGCACCTGAGTAGCAAACATGAAGGTGGCTTATTTTATACCTTCATAAAACAATTGTTTCTCCATTGCTGGAGTCTGTTCGCATGTTCAGGGTAACATCACTGTGGTTTTGTGTTTTCAAATTTGATTTTTGTTGCAACTATTTCTTTTTTTTTTTTTCAAGCGGATGTTAGGACTCTGAGAGCCATGCTTCGAGGCACAGGCCTATTTTAGGTGTGTCTTAATGCTGTGCCTAAGTGATCTACATTTTACACACATAACTGATACTAACATGACTGAGAAAATGACTTGTGTTTGTATCTTGCATCCTAACTGTTCAACCCTTGACTAGCTGTTGGAGCTTGGAAGAGCTACCATTTTCTTTCCCCTAGTAGTTTAATCCTTTTTATAAGTTTAGTCCAGTTTAATTTGAGAATGGGGAAGAAGGACTGAACTTTGACTGAGGGTAAAGAAGGAAAAAGTTTCTTTGAAAGCTATTTTAAAGATCAGGCAATAATACAGTATTAAAAATGTGTTTGAAAAGTGCTTGAAATGTGTTGAAAGTCATTCCTCAGAGTTCAGTGGTTCTGCAGAAGCAACAATTTTTCAAAAATAATTTCAAGGAAGCATTTTTTAGCTGAACTGAATAATGAAGAAGAAACTACATGAAAATGCCTAGATTGTCATCTATTAATATCTTCTGTTAAATTGTTATTGTTTTAATCATGTTGACTTTTTAATTGCCAGAAACTTAAAACAACACCATATAATGCAGCTCACAAATGAACTTGTGCTTGCTTGTGTGTCTGTACTTAAGACTGTGCTGTCTGTGGTATTATGTGATTGCAGTGTCTTACCATGCAGAAACAAAATAGGGCATTTAACACAAACAAAACCCCAGTATGAACTACAATAAACACAGACTGAGATGACATTGATGTCCCTTCATATAACCAGAATGAAATTTATTACAATACTTAAAACTCTAGTGGTTCTCAGAAAAATGTCATTAGCGGGTAGAATCACTGAAATGCTCCCTGCTGTCCTTAGTAGTGTCCTTTTGCTATGGACATCAATAGAAATTATGTTCTTACTATTTTATGTTTCCCATCATGACTTGGCTGACTGCTTTCTCCACTTTCTCTTTCTCTTTCTGGATTTTTGTTGTTGTGGGTTTTTTTGTTTTGGTTGTTTCTGTTTTTTTTCAATTAACATCACAGGCCCTGAGTTGGGTGGTGAGTTCCCTGTGCAGGATATGAAAACTGGTGAAGGAGGTCTTCTTCAGGTCACATTGGAAGGAATTAACCTGAAATTTATGCACAGTCAGGTATGAGGGAAATCTGTGAGAAAACTGAGCATGAAGCTTTTTGCTGCTTGCCTGTATAGGTGTTTCCTTTTCCCAGAGTATCAACAAGGACAAGGGATAGCTTGATGGGGATAAAAAAGCACATGTATATTTACGCTCAAACACAAAAGGATATAAATATATATATGTAAAAAAACCACTGAAATTAGATATCCTCAGGAAAATTATAATTAGTTAAAGAAAGATGTTGCTACATCTTTCAGCTTCTTGTTTCTGGTGGTCTGAATTATCTAAGCACAAAACAAATATTAGCCTGTGTTAGAAAAAGGGATCAATAGTAATCTAAACTGCTGTAATGCATCACACTGTGAATGTATCCTGATTGCATAAGCAGTCAACCTTAAAGAAACAGTGTTTGAATATTAGTGGTACAAAGGGTAAATTTCTGCATCATATGTAATCTATTTTATTTTAAAATTTTAGAAATAATCTATAGAATTTAGTATGAAAATAAAATGGGAAACTGGTTCTTGATGTAATTCACAAAATAAGAAGGAAAAATATTGATTCCTTTCTCCTTCCAAATAGCAGATATTGTGGGCATAGAGGAAACACAACTAGAGTTGTCATTTCTTCCTTTCTCTGGATGTTGTTTCTGTTGCTTCCTTTGATCCTTGTTTTTTATTTTGCTTTACGTTTTTTTTTGTTTTGCTTGTGATATTAAATGCATGCTACGCTAGACAGTAGAACCAGTTTTTAGGGGAGAGACTGTGTGTGTGTGCATGAGAGAGAGAGAGAAAAAGAAAAGCTTCTGTCAGTTCTCTGTGGAGTGTTTTTTCCTTTCCTTCTGACTAGACTTTTCTCCCCACACAAGCTTTGTTCTTCTTTGAGGATACATCAGTGTAGATCCCACTGGAAGTGCACATGCATCTCAAACACACATGCTCAGAATCTTAAAACTTCTCCCAAGGTCACAGCAGCACCATGTGCCTCTTGGAGTTTGTATGTGCCAATATAAGGAACGGAAATTTGTGAACCTCCCTCAGTTTTCCTGCTGTCTCTCACCAGGGTAGAACCTAGACTATGCCTGACCTGCTGTAGTATTTCAAACCTACTCTGTGATGGAACAGTCTGCCTAACTAAGTTAAAGATTTTAACTTTTTTTTGTATATGCTGAAATATGAAGAACTGCAAGAGGAAGTCATCAGTAGTACAGAATGAACTTGCATAGTTATTGGAAATGGCAGATCTAAAGCCTCTAAAAATTAAACCCTGGTCTCAAAGCAACAGTTTGATATCCTTATAGATGGGCATAATAGAAATTACTTTGTCCCAAGGTAAGGACACACCATAGGAATGGTCTGTTTGCCTCTCCTTTTTCTGCTTCTACTAGAAGTCAAAAAAGTTGTTGAGCTCAAACTGCTCATCTCTTGAACAGTCAATGGAAATGATTCTGTTTCAGAATTGAAAAGCCAGGCACATACATGGTTGCAGTGAGAAAAGATAAGAAGGTAGCCGTATCATCGTCAGCGTGGCTTCTTAAGTGTAGCAGGAGTCTTCCCCAAGACAGAGACACTCAGTGTTAAGGGCGTAGTGAGCACACATGTATCTGTCCAAAAGAAAAACTTCAAATCCTGGAAAATTGCCTTGGGGTGTTTTTTTTTTTGTTGTTTTTTTTTTTTGTTTTTTTTTTCCTGAAAGACTGGAGAGACAATCTGAAAGAAACCTTAGGAAAACCTAGTACTGATTGTTATTATGTGACTTTCAGGAGCCTTACCACTTGAATTTTGTACAACAGATACTGAGACCAGTGCTACTAGTACCAGCACTCCTAGAATACCAGCTTCATCATATCCTTCCTTTCAGAGAATGATGTTCTAATTTGCTGTCTGTGATGAAAATTCCTTCCTCTTTTCTGGAACAGTCTGTGTAGGTCAGACCCAGGAAGTATGCCAGCTTTCTGCTTCACCTGAAGGATTATTCCTTCTCTTCATGACCTTTCCAATGAGGCTGTAGCCAGATGAGTTACCATTACTTTTAATGGATATTGAAACAAGTGCAGTTTTGGAAAATACACTGCTTTTACTCAATATGTTTAATTCTTAGCTTGTTAGATTACATTGCCAACTGACTGTGGCATTCAGTTCCATTTAGTGCACCTAATGAATGTCTTTGTTTTCCTTGCCAAAACGAAGTGTCTAGACAGATATCAAAAGTCTCTCATTTAAGGGTTTCTATAGAATGGATAACTGTAGCAGTTACATAAGGGACTCTACTAGTTGCACCATGCAAAAAAAAATCCTCTTCTGTTTCCTGCAGAGCAAAAGGATGTTGGCATTCTTGTTCTGACACTCATCAACCAGTCTGCTTTCTTAATAAAAGGTCTGTTATTCCAGACGAATTGTTCTTTCCAGTTTTGCTCCCTAAGGCAGTTGATTTCAGAATATGCATATAAGCATCATTAAAACCAGGATCCTTCAGCTATTTCTCTGTGTTGAAAATGATTTTTGTCTATTTCTGTCGGGTTTGTATGGGGATACTGACCGACAAAAGCCTACAGGACTTCCTCAGGCACAGCTTTCTCTTCATCTTCCTTTCCTTATTCCATATACAGGTTCTGTTCTTGGCTATCTTTCCAAGTGTTCTTTTCAGCATTGTAGCTTACTAAAATAAGGGATTTCTATTGCTCTGCCTGATTGGACATCATAGAAATAATTCATTTAGAACAGAGGAAGAGGGGTTTCCCCTTTTGAAAAAAAGTGTCAATGGAGTCTACCTGAAAAGACTGAACATACTGCTTCAGTGCCAGAATGGAGCTTGCTGTTATGAAGCGGTTTTGAAGGCTCTTGATTTGCAGTGTGTATGCTTTCTTACCATCTTGTGAATTCCTTAGGAAATGTCTTAGATGCAGGGAGGGCAACCTGTTACTGACACAGGATACCTGTCTCCAGTGTTCACAAATTGCGTCGCCATGCTGCAGAACATGTAAGTTTAAGCAGAAAAAATGTTCAAGTCTATTGGTACCTAGCAGGTCAGAGGAAGTTCTTTAGAATAAGGAGGTATCAAGCATACCTGTGGCATTGGCAGATTATTCTGAGTTTACATTTGCAAATTGTAATATTGAGACTCAGTACCCTATCCCTGTTATGAATTCACCTGTGTCAAAAATAGATGGAAGTTTAATAAGATGCATCAGGCACATGCTCATCTACAGTAGGATCCACACTGAATGCTCTGTCTTGAAGAACCACAGTGTCTCTAGGGTAAGTAACTGTTATTTCCGTTATGTGTGTTTCCTGATTGAGTGAGAGGAGAGCATCTCTGTGCCTTAAAAGATATAGCAAGAAATTGCCCATCGACTTATATCTTCTGAAAATGGATTGTAATTGTGACAGACTTGATTAACTCTCATCTTGCTCATAACTCTTGTGGAATGCAGCACTCATTCATGCAGCACATTAACTCAGATCATGACCACCTGGGGCAGTCCTGTCTTTCAGGCAATTTCACTGTTACCAAATAAAATAAGCAGTGTTTCGCCTGAGTCTTTCTACTGAGTTTCTGAATTTTTGAACTTTAGACTACTAGCAAAAACCTTTCACAGAAAAGATTACAGAAGAAGGAAACTAAGTGCAATAAAGAAAGTGTTCTATTACTGACTTGTTAATTTTGGAAGTATACTTGAATAAATAAAATGTTTTTGACCAACTAAACTGATATAGAACATGGATGAAAACAGGAAAACAAAAAAAGATGGAATTAAGTATCCTTTCCCTTGAGTGCTTGAATGTAAGCAGAAGGCTAGCTTCAGACTTTTGATTAAGTAAGTGGAAGTTTTGGAGTTTTATATTGCAAAAAAAATATCCTGGGTCTGTTGGTTAGCTCTCTGCCAATAAAAATAACAATAAAATCACTTTGACTTGAAAATCAACCTGTCGTCTCTCAGATATATGGTGCATTTACTGATCTCTCTTGATACATATAAGTTTGTTTCTTAAAAAAGAAAAGCCCACAACAGTTTCTAGTCTTGACTGCCTTTCTTGGGTAGCATATCATGTATGATTACATTGGTGTTGCTAATACAGGATTCAGAAGGGTTGCAAAGTTTTTCTTTCCCTTCTTTCCAAGACAATGAAGTTTCTCCAGTACCATTTTTAAAAAAAAGCTCCCAAGATCATGGTATCATAAGTGTATAAGCACTGAAAGTATCAAACCAGACTTCTGTAATACAGTTTTGCAAGGATCTCTCTAAGGTGTTTGACACAGACACTCTGAGTGTTAGGGTGATGTTACTCTTGGTGTTTCTCCTGCCTTGAAAAGCAAGCCTACTAGGAACTGGAGTATGGGTTTGATTCCTTATAGGACTTGCTACAGCTTTTTATATCTGTGTACTGACCTTGACCCTTTTGGAGATGTGCACGTAAGAAGGGATTATTTTGTATCTTGACATAGACTGGATATTGAACAAACTCATTATGCAAAGAGAACTTGTTTATTTATGCAGTCTTGGTATCTAGGTTCTGGACTGAAAAACCTAGCCATGTAGTTCAACTGTTTTTGTCTTTTGGGGTTCAAGTGATGGGTCAGCTGGCAAAAGCCATATGTGAAGTGAGCAAACCGCAGAGAAGGATCCAAACTCTCCCATCCTGCTTAAAGCAGAAAACTGGTACTGACTGTCAAAGGAGGAGGTTCCAAGAGTAATTATGAAGATTATATATCATAAACTTTAGTAAAATCTTAAATGACAGAACTGTCAGGGAGAGGAAAGATAAATGGTTCCTCATTGGATTCAGTTCAGCTGCTGGGTAGGTTAGGAGGATCAGTGTCATGGTGGGAAGTATAGTGCCCTTTACCTGCCCTCTGTGCTGGAGGAGGATGCATGGAGGGGCAGAAACCAACTGGGATGGATAAGAGGCTACAAAATAGTGCCAAATTTGGGAGTCAGCTTTTCTCTCGTCCCCCTCTTTGCTGTATATCAGGTGTGTTGGTATTCTTTTTGCAATAACTCATTTGAGTGCCTGAAGGGGTAGCAATGTTGGATATGTCAGAGTTACTAACTCCTTCGTTTCTCTTCCATGCTTTCTCCTCCTGCAAGGAGCGGAAGGTACTTCATCTTCTGCTGTCTTCGCTTCTTAGCACTTTTAAGTTTTTTGTTGATTTCTAGCATTGTGGCAAGTTTGTCTTCTGAATATTTATTTCACCCTTTATTTATATATTAAATTGTAAATGAACTGGTAGTGTATGCTATAAAACCTCAGGTTGTGTCTGTTGTGATGATGTTTTTGTTTAATTTTGGGGTTTAGTTGAATATGAAAAACCAAACCAAACTAATTTTATGTTACTTTCCTCCTGTTTTTGTAGGTTTTCATAGAGCTGAATCACATTAAAAAGTGCAATACTGTGCGAGGAGTCTTTGTCCTGGAGGAATTTGGTAATTACATTATTTTGATATTAGGTCTGTACTCACATGGCAGTAACTCAAATTTCCAGTTTTCAGATTCAGAGTTGCACTGCAATTTCAAAGATGGGAGAGAATGTAGATTGCACGTGAGAAGTTGCCTGAGAGATAGGTGACAACATAAAAATTTACACATTAATTTTCATCATGTTAAGATTTGTGACCTAGGTGCTTTTTCTTATTAGATAGAGAAAATGTCCTGAGCCTTCTGAAGCAAACAAAACAACAGCTAGGCTTGGATGTGTGTAGGAATTTCCTTTGATATGTTTCTTTTTCATCTGAGAAACCACACTTTTTAAGCAGGATTTAAGGCTGATCTTTCTCAACACACTATGCTTCCATTAAAAGAACTGCTGTTAATTGCAAAGTTTCATTTTTGCTCTATGTGGAATTTAATTTTTGTTGTACGGAGCAGAAGATGTTTTGTCAGGTTGCAATTAATTTATCCTGTGATCTTTGTTTTGGAGCCTGACTGGTAAAGGGTAGAAAACTAAAGGTAAAGGAGAACAGGGAATTTGTACTGTTTTGGTCAGTTATTGCTATTGCATATAATCTGCCTAATGCTGTAGTTTGGGGAAAATTCCAGGTTCCTCTTCAGTGTTAGTGCCAGACACGCTATACTTAACTAGGGTCTGAAAAAAATGAGTGACTTCAGATGCTGCTCTCTGGAAGAGTGATCCACATACTTCTCTTGAAATAGTCCCCAAATCCGTATTGGTTTATTCTCCCACCCATCTGTGAGACATTTGTCCAGGTCTTAGGAGTATTCATGAAACATTTAAAAAGAAGCTAAATTTTGTGGCTTTCTTTCCATAGTACATCAGCACCCATACTTTGGCCATTAATCAAAATCTAAATTAGCAGCTCCCATTACCAAGACTCTTCTTGTTCTTTGGTAATGTGTGTAGAATGTTATGGCTGAGGGATTCTCCCTTAGATTAATGCAAGATTTCTGAAATAAATGTCCTTTTCCATAATAATGTGTTGTCTCCTTTTGGTGATACAAAGTTCTAAGGTATCCAAATGATAAACCCCTTCTGACTGTTGCAGTTTGCTTTCTATTTACTATAAATCTCCAAGAAGTTTGGCTTTCAATTCATGAACGATTTTGTCCCATTTTTAAAAAATGTTGTTCATGATTCAGATGATCAGATCAGTATATTTAAAGCACCAAAAAAATCCAGTATTTTATATGTTCAGAAGGTGTCCTCAATTTATGGGTGCATATTCCTTTGATATCATGTTTTCACCATGATGGGCATGAATCATTTTAGTAATAGAAATTATTCAAATCAGTAAAAGATTATTAAGTTTTACGAAGATGAGAATTCAGAAGTCATAAAATTAGCTTAAAAAATGGCTTCAGCTTCTGAAATCTTTAACTTAAAAGAAATTACTTGAAACAGAAATTAATTTTGGGTCACTTTTGAGAGGTTTTAATGCAAAATATTTCTTATAATTGTTTATATTGCACAAGATGAAAAGACAGTGTTTGACTTGGTTATTTCTAGTCAACTTATATTGATGACTCTGTAACACAGCAGTTAGCACCTAAATAATGTATGTAATAAATATAAGAAAAAGTCCTTTTTATAATCAAGGGCCTATTGCAAAAGCTAGAATTGTGATATGGAACTTATAAAAGGGTAATTTTCAGAGGTAATTAAAAATAAACTGGGAGTTGGATTCTACAAGCACAAATTGAGAAATTAAACATTTTAAATTCAAAATATCCTCCTCCCAAAATAGATTCACATAGAAGAACCAATTTAAATGTTCCAAATGAGATTTACAATTTGCCAATCCAGCTAATAAAGAGAAAGAAGGAAAAAAGATGTTGAAGGGGAGATAACCTTTCTTTTTGTGCAGAGATGAGAAACTACCTCAGATCTGCTTTTAAAATTGTTGTAAAGGTGAGAAGGTATGCCAGTCTCTCCAGTTCAAGATAAATTAAAGTGTTTCTTAATAGTAGACTAACAGCATTCAGCAAAAACTAGCTTGGACTTCTTAAGAATGAAGTTATTTAGCTATGTTAAACATGATGAACCTTGCCATGAAATTCATTATAGTAGGAGTATATTGAAGTAGTAGTTCCTTTTAGAAAGATAGAGACTGGTAAGCCTGCATACTCTAGTCTGATGGGAAATAGTTCAATACAAGATTTATTTGATTTTACGAAGTGTGAGTGCTCCAAATTAGTGATATTGTATCAGGAAATTAAAGGTTTGTTTGTGTTAATGCTGGGCTCAGATGCAGCATGGAAGTTGGACTTGTAGTTTCAGACCAGGATGCAAGCAGATGTTCAGGAATTGTGCCCCACAAATGGAAGTGGAAATTTAAGCGAGGAAGTGTAAGGCTTTTCCCTCTGAAATTTGAGTTACTGCTGTGTACTCGTGCTTTACTTTCTTGTGGCCCCTTCACCGTCGCTGCTATGAAAACCTTCATTCTCCAGCAGGTAAAGTGATGTCCCCTTAAACCCATTTTGTGGTAGCACCGTAGTTTAATTCACACGACCAAAGGCTGCAAGGTGGTGTTTAATAATTTACTCCCTTAATCCACTCAGTTCAACAGCATCAGGGATAACTTTTATGTTAAAAGAAAAGTGCTTCTGCTCATCCCTCAGTTTGAGGCTTGAGTCTTAGGAGGCTTGGGTATTTTCTTTTTTGTTTGTTTGGGTTTTTGTTTGTTGGGGGTTTGGGTTTTGTTTGTTTGTTTTTTCTTTTTTCCTTTCTTCTTTTTTCTTTGTATTCTGCAGCAGTAGTGCTTTGACTTCCCTGAGTAAATGCAAACCCACTCTTTTTACTCATCATAACTCAGTCATCTCAGGAGAATTTCCTGCATTGCAAGGACAGTGAAGGAGTACTTTATTTAAAGACAAGGCAGTTTTTGCTGACTGTGAAGTGGGGAGACAGTACCTCGCCTAGGTGCTCTCCTGTTCCCTCTCTTCCTATTCTCAGTTATGATACAGGACTTTACAGCTTCCCTTCTCTCCTTCCCTTGTGGCACAAGGTCCTTACAGCTTTCCCTTCCTGCTTTTTGAAGAGTTTATGAACAGTTGTATGTTATCCAGTGGGCAGTGAGACTTACACAGCTGTAAAAGTCCTACCCTATTTGGCTGTGCACCAGCCTCACTCCCACCTTTATCCCCTGGTGACATGGAGTTAATTTGGAACATCTGGTGCCAACGGGTAAGGTAGCTTGGATGTGCACCTCCTTATCTCCCCAACTCTAGTCTCTGGTATTGCTGGGGCAGTGCAGCCTGGGTGTGCACTTCCCTTGTTTCTGAGGCCGTAATGTAACTGCCAACTTCAAGAAAAGTGAGAGTTGAAAAAGAAAACAAAACCATTACTCTGTACCAGCATATTCTGTACTTTTCACTAGATTTCTTTCAAGAGCGACAATACCGTGGCATACGAGAATTAGTAGGCACTGATTTATATTTAGAGAACTTTCTCAAACCCAGTCTGCACTGCCTACTTTTGGCCCTTTAGAGTGTGATTCGTCTCCCTCTCCAGCGTTCAGCTGTGTCACATCATAGTTGAAAAGATGACATCTGCATGGAAAGGTTTTGTTGTGGACTTTTCCTGGTTCTTCATACTGAACTCATCTGCCTCTGTTTCTTTTTTTGTCACTAGTACTGTGTGTAATAAAACATTTATCCTTCCTCTATGAACCTGGTATGATTTGGTTTTGGATAATTTCTGTACTGCTTCAAAATTCTTTTGTTGTGACACAGAAATTCCATGGCAAATTTCAGCTGTTCTGGAAGGGAAGTACTCAGAGTTGGTCTTGGTATTCCACTGATCTTAACGTTTTAAATTTGCCAGTTGTATGTTAATGTGGTCTTTGTTCTCTCCTGGTGATTTCCCATGGTATCTGTTCACAACATTTGCAGACCAAGTGTGGGTCAAAGGCACAGTTCAGGTGCAGTGAAATGGGATGGTTACATCATGCTTTACTAAGGCATTCCACAATGAAAACAAAAGACAGATTTTCTTAAGCTATATTATGCCTGTTTCCTTTCCGTCAGTTTGAGGCAGTGCAAGGGAGCAAGATGAAATTTTCTGGATAATGGATTTTTTTCATCAGTGCCTTAATCCTCTTTTATATAGACTTCTATAAGCCAAAAAGCTTGGTATTTTAAGAATATGTGTCACTGAACTCAGTATTTTATTTGAGACAACTTGTTCAAAAACTATGAACATTTTCAGTCAGTGTGTCAGGTAAATACAATGACACGCATCCTATACAGGAGAAAGAATATCTTGAGAAACTTAAAATTAAGCTGGGAAACAGTCTTCCAGTTTGGAAAATTTTCTCTCTCAACTTCTTTTTTTTTTTTTTTTTTTTCTGGATTTCACTAACTTACTGTATAGTCTCAAACAGGTTTTTTGAGATCTATTATTCAGCAGAGAGGGATACAAACATCTAAATGGCAAAATCTTTGGGAATCGCGTATTGATAAATTCCCATGGAATTGTTCATGTTTTATTGTCGTAGACATAAGACATATTTGGTTATTAGCCTTATTTTTTCACTATTTTTGCTGTCTAGCAAGAATAAGTAATATGAGAAAAGCCAGTCTCTAAGAACCATCAAATATCTACTGTGCCAAACAGAGGCAGTGAAAATGTTTGTCAACCCGAGTAATGTATTATTGTTATCAGTATCTTCCAAGGACATATATAATGTAAATGAAAAGAAGGAAAAGTATCTAGAAGTGAAGGATAGTGAGGTGGCTTGTATCTGCACCTGCTGTCTGTCTGCATCCCTTCCCTTTCCTATGGGAACGCTGTGCTATTTCTTTCCCATTTGCCTCTCGTTTTTTGAACTTTTTGTTTTGTCTCTTGCCCGTCCGGTTTTAGTTCCTGAAACTAAAGAAGTGGTGAGCCACAAGTACAAGACGCCAATGGTGAGTCACCTGTGATGCCTTCTGGGAGTTCTATAGAGGATCTGTCTTTACATTTTCATGTGGCAAAAAGAATGACATTGGGATTGCAGGATTTTGCAGTGCTACTTCTTATGCTAGTTTTCCTCAGGGGAAGACAACAAAACTTGGTGATTGTTGTGCCTATGAAATTAGAGGAACTCAACAGGTAGTACAGAAAACACTGTCTCTTTTAAAGATAGATGCCGGTGTAGCACAGTAAGAACTAGTGGAACTGTTAATTCTAAGACAGTGCAGAACACAATCCTTAATCCATAGAAACAATGTAAAGGGAGACCAGTCCCTAGGCATGAAGTGATTATTAACAGTTTATGAAAAATTCCCATTTCCTCATGAAAGTGAGCGGGGAGATGCAAGAGAACATTACAAGTATAGACATCTGTACACTGCTGTATAGATGAATTACTGCTGTGATTTAGTGTTCATTTTTTATGACATTTTGGGAATGCTAGCAGTTTATAATGATATTTAGTGATTTTACACATGATCAAGCTTATATGCACTTATAAGGAAGAAATAGAAGACAATTATTATTGTCGGAACTGAAATTTCTTCAGTTATTTTGTGCCCGAAGTGCAGTGTGCACATTTGTTGAAACTCAGTCCTTCAAGGGGAGAGAGAGAAAAATTAACTGAAGGAACTAGAAATGTTCAGAACAAAATGCTTAGAATATATGTAGTTTAAGAAGCAGATAGCTCTGTCTGTTAATAAGAAAAGGCAGTTCAATGAAAAAAAAATTGTATTTGACATGAGTGTTTTAGCTTGTACTATAATACAACAAAATGTTGTATGATTATTAGATTTACAAAGATTTTGAATGTCAGTTTACAGGATAAGAGTTTTTAACATCACCAGAATAGCCAGTATTAGAACTAGGATATAAATTACGTCTTACTTTCACTGAATTGTGCTACCCGTCACATGTTAAAAGAGGATTTTCAGTTAAATAATAGCACACAATGAGTGAAAAGTAATAATTGTAAAACTTGGTAATGCTATGTGAAACCCTCTCCTTTAAGATAGTGACAAAATTGCCTGGTATTCTTCATAGGAAACATGCAATATTGGGTTGTAGAGGTTTTTATAATTAAAAAAAAAAAAAGGTGAAACCCAAAGTTCATATTATTTACTAGTGTTTGATTAAAAATTATGAGGATTACCAGTCCTAGCATAACAAGGTAGTTGTGAGTAAGGAAGAATCCCACCATCTCGTTAGTCAAGGTTCAGTATTGGATGTTTAGTTTTTTTAGTTAGCTCTTTCAACCCCTCCCAGAAAATTTCTTGTAACTTCATACAACAGACCGAAAGTAATTATGTAGAATGTTTTTTCTAAAACTGGCTGTCCAACTTTCCAGCTTGGCATACTGTTTTTAAAAATTATTAAATCATACTATTAAGCAACTAATGTTTTTATCCTAAAGGAGGTTTTTAGTTTGTTATAAATATTTTCTTCTCTATCCATCTCAGTTAGAAGGTATGGGACACATTTTCCTGACTTCTATCTCTAGCCAGAGTAGTTGCCTCATGAAGAAAGACATATAGCAAAGTACAAAATGTGCAGTGGATTTTGCAAATCACTTAATAATCTGAATTTCATTATCTCTTTTTCTGAATTCTTGTAGGCTCATGAGATCTGCTACTCCGTGCTGTGTCTCTTCTCTTATGTGGCTGCAATTCGTGGGAAAGAGGCAGAAAATAAAAGCAAACCACCTCGACCAGTTTCCAGTTGATCATGATATTTAGAAATACCTACCCTTTGGTACACTGATATGCAGTACTCCCAGTTTTGCTGCAGTTACTGGAGCTCACTTTCTGTCTTTTATGAGAACGTGATTATTTATGTATGACCTTGCAAGTCTCTCCCCATAGAAAAACCTGAGACTTCACTGTTCAGTCTCCTTCTGAATTCGTTCGTAATGGAGTTTTTAAACGAGCTTTTAATCAGACGGTTTTGAGCACCTGCATCCAGCTGTGAGTTACTTACTCTGGACATTCCTTTGGAATTCCTTTTTTCTTAAGATGACTAACAGCTTGAGTTCGGTTGTTTTTTTGTTCTAGTGGTACTTGTTACAATTTAATCCCTTTACAACTGCAGGTTTCTGCTTTCCGATTCTCTGGTATGTGCACAGTGGAAGCAGTCTGGTCCTGTATGTTGTTTAAATGTAGTGTTTTTATTGTTTTCCTTCTGTGTTGTTCATTTTTAACTACTAACACAGAGTTCTTGTCACATAGTTCTTCAGACACCTTTGGTAGAGGTGAACAATTTAGCTGTCATAGTCTTAAAATACCATGTGACAATTGAAGTTTGGCTATTAAATTGGTCCATCTGTGGAGATGACTACTTCTCAAGAGGGAAAAGAAGTGGAGAGAGAAACTCTGAAGGTAGCATATTGTGAAAAATCTTGACACTTCATGGATTGTGTGGATTTTCAAATGGCAATTTAGGTAACATTTGTAGTTATCCCAGCAGTAGACTTAACAGATGCATATAAGCACTGCCTAAAGCAGTTAATCACAGGGATCAGAAAATGAATAAGGGAGTAAGAAAACTTGGAAACATTATTGGGAGAAGTACACTGTAGAAATCTGCAGAACGTGTTCAGAAGCCCAGGGGATTATGCTGTCTTCAATTTTTTTAAACCGTTGGTTGGTTGTTGTTTGTTTTTGTTTTTGTTTTTTTTTCAATCTGTACCTGTGTTTCAAGGGATCTTGAAAATACTGTATTTGTGTATAATGAAATTCACATAGTTAAAACTATCCATCACATTCCTTATTTTAAATAGGCCAAATATGAATGTTTTCTTGCATCCTGTTTTTGTTCTTGAACTGTACTGTACTTGCCTGGAAAGCTCTTAGGATGCTGGAAGATGAGACTGTCTAGAGAAAATAATGTTACATGTAAATTACCAGGAAAAATTGCTCTGATGCAAACTGATGTATTGTATGTTTTGGCATAGAATTCTGACTAAATGCACCCAGAAATAACCCTGTTTTGGCTTGGTCAGGGTATCTACCATTTTAAATGGAATATACCAATATGGGTGAGGAAATGATGTAAATATTATAGTATCACATCTATTTATAGAAACTGTACAGCTCTCTGAATGTGAAAATAAAATGTCATTCAACCAGCAACTAGTTTTCATATTGTGTGCTTTTCTATCAGTGTAACTTATTCTGAAATGAATGTAATTGTATACAAAATATACCATACACATTTATGAAATAATGAAAAAGAGAAGACTATAAATGGGCAGTCTAAATGTCTTTCCACGTAAGAGGTTAAAAGTAATTTTTTTTTCTTCTGTCACAACATCTGTGTGATTTGTCTTAAAAAAAAAAAAAGTGTCTGAAAAGCATGAATAAGGAAAACAGTCACATCTGAAATACGGAAATTTTTATTGCATACTTGCAAATAGAAATGACGTGTAAGGGATTTTTCATCCTTTCCTAGCTTAAAGGCAAAACTGAAATTGGTAAATCATGAAATTAGCCTCTTTAGAAATTATTTTCTTTCTTTTGTCCTCTTGAGACTGTAAATTTTCTTTTAGCAATATTTGAATTTTTAGCAATTGTAATGTTCTTGATACTCCTAAAAGTACAGTTAAGACTGAAGGCACTTTGGTCTACAATAGGTATTCCATTTACTGCAATACTGGGTCCCACTCAGGTAGTCAATTTAAATTTTTAAATTGTAATTATGTTATCAGCCTATTAACATAATCAAACCATTAACTTAAAATTATAAGGGTAAGGTTATTAAATGCATAGCATCACTTACTATATACAGCTTTTTTTCTCTTATAGAAGCTATATTTTTGCTAATGTATTTTTTCTGTGACTTACATAAATTCTTAAACTGCTATATGCTCTAGACTGCTGAAAAACTTCAGTGAAGGGCCCTCTGTCCCTTTTCACAGAATTTTCTTAAAGAACAGGTGTGGCTAAATATATTGTTTGCTGTTCTGTGGCAGGGATGAATCAGGACCAACCTCAGCAAGTGGGCTGACACTGTGCGTCTGCTCTTTAGGTGAGAGCAACTGTCTTGGCTTCCAAATTGAAGTGATTTTTGGAATATATAAAATCTTTCTTGCAGTTGATGATGAGGATTTAGCAGGTGTTCTGAGAACTGCAGGCATGTAGCGTGTTCATCTGAGCCAAAGGCATTCTGTGCAGTGTTTCCACTACTAAATGCAGAATGCTGCTCTCTGGATACCAAATGCAGGTCAGATTTAAAAGTGGTACAAAAAGCATAAGTCTCTTGGAATTCAGTCTTCTATCCTTTCCGCTTTCCTTTCATCACTTCCAAGTGCTAAGAGGTCCGTAAACTTTATTTTGGAGGAAAAAAAATAATTCCGGTTGTTTGCATGTGGTTTTAGTCATGTCCCACTCATTTTAATATTTAGATAAGAATTCCTTAGCAGCAGTAAAGAAGTTAGGGGTTTCTAAACCTTCCAGAACCAACTTGAAGGCTGAGAGTAATTGGTAATAATAAATAGTTCTAGAAATTTCTTAGCACAAACCAAATAATTCCTGCGTTTTTACCACTAGGAGGAGCCTGTGTCTTAGTTTTTAAGAATTTCAAAATCGCGACCTTTTTATTTTAACACTTGTGCTATTTCCGAGGCACTTAGACAAATGTCACAAAGAGTCATAAACTTACCTTAAAACTTCCTTGTGCTGAACAGGTTTCTTTTTCTGCTACAATTTCTTGTTTGTGGAAGTTGGTTTTAAAAATGACCATTAAGTGTTCTCTGTAAACACAGGGGTTTTCAAAGTGGAACCAAGGTTACTAATTTGTCTCCTGGTTCATGGATCTTCATCGTGATGTTCAAAAAAAAAAAAAAAAAAAAAAAAGCTCTTGTTTTATTTATGAATGCAGTGTCCACTTCTAATATGAGTGGGTCCACATTTTAAAGGTTAAAGGTTTAAACATCACTGGGTGTCACAACACTGAAGTGATATTTATTAAGAATATAACTGGAAAAAACTTACTGAAGATGTTGGTTGAAGGAAAGAATTCATTACTTTAAGAAAACCATTGTGAAAATTTCCTACACCCCGATTCCTAACTTCAGATAATCTGTGTCCTCCTCTTTTGTCACTTCAGGATAGCAGAGTAAGATAAAATGTTCTTCTGTGTATTTAAAAGTTAAATTGCTTGTAAACATAAATCATTAAGAATTTTGATTCCAACTAAAGTTCTCTCTTAGTAATCAAAGTGGATGGGAAGATGGCTGTGATGCTAAGCCTTCCTCGGAAGATTTGTGTTGCAAAATGTTGAAGATATTTCTGGAGTCTTGCTACTTATGCCAAAGAAGGGCTTTTGTTTCTAATAAGGAAGCAGTTGCCTACAGTGGGAACAAATGGGCATAGGCTCCTGTTATCACTGAATTAAGAACTAGGTAGAAAATAGAAGCTAAACTTCTCACAAAGAGCAATATTTACATCCCAGTTCCCCTCGACTGCCAAATGATTGAAAGTCAAGTGATGTTACCTCTGAGGCAAGATCTTCCTTCTGGGAGAACAGTGGCTCCTGCTTAACTCTGACTCTGTATTATGTATTTAGGAATTTAGGTATTTAGGAACTCCAAATTACTGCTCTTAGACAAACCAGGTGTTGGTGAAGTAAAACATCCCCTAGCTCCAGAAGAAGTGAGATTTAAGAGGAAGAAGCAGAAGCTTTATGCAAAGGACCTTGCCACATGATGCCAAAGAGATTCTTCTTGCTCTTACAGAAGTCACAACTCAGTCTGATGCATCTGCTTTTCACAAGGGCAAGACGTTTCCAGACAGCTTCTGGTGACTTTGCTTCTGATACTGGCAATGACTTCTCATTCAGCCCTACCCTGTAATGCTCTTGTAAGATGTTCAGTGAGCGACAGCTTTGAGATTCTGCAGCCATTCCCAGTTTGGTCATTTCACTAAAATAGTAGACATGTGATAATGCTTTAAATAATAGTGTGTATGTGACCCCTCTTTCCAGCACTGTATCTGAAGGTTTAAAAGCTTGATGTTGGTGACAAGTGAGGTTTGAGTGTGGTTGAGTACATGTCGTGCTTAGAGAGGACCTCTTTCAGGCAGATTCTGCGCTCAGATAAAAATGAGCTCAATGCTTATACCAAGGTTAGTAAAATCATAAGGTAATTTTCCTTTTACAGGTGTACAGTGTTTCAGAACTTCTGTGGCACAGTAGTTTTGGCATTAGTTAATTTTGTTTTAGGATGTCAGAAATAAATATATATATATGTCAGCCAAGGGCAAACAGTCCTGCTTCTATTTGCAACAGTTACTATAGTGATAAATGTGGTTTAGGAACCTACATAGAAATAGAAATCCTCATCTCCCAAAATAGCTCTACATAAAAAGCAACAAATGGTGGCAGGAAAAATACTGGTAGAACTCTAAACAATTGCTTCCTTGAATTATACGAAAACTTTAGTTCTGTATTGCAATTCCTCCCACTCTTTTTTGCCTTTTCAGTTTCTTGTACTAACTCCAGTGAGTACCAGTCCATCCACAGCACACTGGGTATCGAGGCACTCTCCTTTTTCTCTTTTTACACATCTCCCTGCTTGGATTCCTCACCGTTTCCTCACATTTCCTTGGCCTACACTCTTCAACCAGTCAGGCTCAGCTCTGCACCTCAATTTCCCATCAGATCATCTGTATCTGTTTCTACCTGTGCTTTTTTTGGTCATAAGTTCTTCTCACCTCTGTGACCATCATCATCTCCCAGCCTCTTTCCCCAAGCAGTTCAGACTTACGCTCTTCCCAGTCTCCTGCTCAACCAATGTCTGCCCCTTTCCAGCTTCCAGTCACAGTCTCTTATTCCTCTCTCCTGTTCTTATCAAACACTCTGTCATCTTCTTTCATTCTCAGCCTTATTCCACTCTTGCTGCTTTTGCATTTAATAAAGTTATTTTTGATGGAGTGCTGAAGACTGCTATAGAGGGAAAAGAAAAGATTTCCAGTCTTATTTCTGCTATTCTGTGATAGCTCCCAGCAGCAGCTCTTCCCAACACTCCTTGTTAGAAATGGCTCAACCATTTAACCCGATATTAACAAGAAAGAAATTTGTCTAAAACACACTTGTAACCTAACAAATTTTATAAATTGTTAAAGTTTTCCAGTACTGTAGGAAACAAAAAAAAGCATGGAAGGAAATCATGCTTTGTAAATAAACAGTACTGTTATCCCCTCTTATACAAGTGAAGAAGAACAATTCCAGTTTTCAGGTAGAAATTTTTGAGGATTTTGCTATGATCAAAATGTGCTGTACTTGGAGCTTTTTTAAGTCAACCTATGCAATGAACTAGCCTATGAAGCAGAAGAAAAGCTTGGATTTTTTGACCATTTTTCCTCATTTTGGTATATGAAAACCATCAGTAAATAAATGTATTTGAGAGTTATATTAGTAGGTAGTCTTTTTGTGATCATAATTTCCTGGAATAGATCTGGATTACTGGGGCAATTATTAACATTATGACAGATAGCAAGCAAATACAACCTTACTGAAGGTCAGACTGCATTTATGCACAATCTGGGTTCATATATTTGAGACCAACGATTTATACTTTCAAGCAAAACAAAAGTGTGTATGATACTCTTCATATTTGCTAAATAAGCTATAATGAATACAAAATCATGTTCAGACAATTATCCACAGTGAAGAGGAAAAGGGAACATACCACTTATTTTTATTTGATATTTTCATATCTACTGATATTTAATATATACTATATTAGTCATTTTTTTGGTTTATTTGTCTGGTGAAGCTATCCTAATACACAATAGATCTGAAATGTGTTCATAGCTATGATAATTATTCATGGTTTTAGGGCTGCTTATTGTCAACATTTCTGTCTGGCACAGAAAGCAGATGCCTGACTGGTTTTTTCCATATCTGGACCTAATATATGAAGCTGTTCGTATCTGTTTCTTTTAAACTTTCACCAGTTCAAGCTGTCTAAGATGTGTTGCTTATGCAGAGTGCTGTGGGGACCCTGCCCAAAGACAAGTAAAGGATATCTCAATGACAGCTTTTGTTTCCCTAAAATAGAGTTCTGTGGTTGGGAAGCACTTGAAAGGTATCAGTGGGGCTATTTTTAATCTCAGCAGACTGTTCTTATAAAATTCATTTGTAAGGAGGCAGGAATGGCTTGTAGTTCTGAACCTACATGTCCAAGATGATAAGTTAGTGACAGACCTCTCTCCTAAATACATACAGGGATTTTATTTCAAAGAAATTCTGTGATAAAGCAACATAAATGATTTTTCGGATTTCCAGAAAAGTATTTTCTCATGCTACTTTTATTTTAATGGTCATCGTATGATTAAATTAAGGAAAAGTTTCTACCAACTCATATTTTCTTGTGTTCTCATTCATTCTACTCAATTGTAGACCTCCCTTGAAACAGCTAGAATGATAATCCTTTCTCATAAGAAATGAAGCCTGCAGGTGAGGAGAACTTAGGTTATCTTTAAATATCTGTCATGCCATTTGTTGAAAAAATTGTTAAATAATATATAGGAATGCCTTGACCTCTCACTGTAATTTTCAATAAGTAACAGTTATATATGATTTGATAGAATAATCTAAAAAAGTTAATAAAGATAACTGTTCTCTGTTACAGAGGGGAAGAGGAAGATAAACTCATGACAGGTGAGGCACTTTTCATAAATATTTTGTTGGGACAATTTGAACTCCATCAGTTTAATTTGCACTTCACACCAGTATAATACATAAGTATTGTAACTTAAGAGCAAGGCAGGGTGATAGATCATAGATTCATAGAATAGTCTGGATTGGAAGGAATCTTTAAAAGTCATCTAGATCATCTAGGTCATCATCTATATAATCAGCTTGTGCTAAAATTAGGTCATGAATTAAATGATCATATAAATTGAAACAATCCATCAAAGACAAGGTTTGGAGTTTGCAAGCTACTAAGAAAAGTGAAGTTTTTCTAAAAATGATACTGAATGCAAGTAGTTTTCTCTGATTTCTGCCTAACATTAGAATGATCTTCCAAGCAATGGTTTATTAACAAATATGTGAATGTGTGAAAATGTAGGACTTTTCCATTTAACAATATTTCTCTCTGCATAACTGTGCTACTGTGCCCTCAGTTACAACAAGTCTTGATTGGAGTAGTTAACCATGTCTTAAACAGTTAAATAAAATACATCAGTACCTAATTGGCAACAATATATTTTAATGGAAACATAGCTTCTTATTACACACGTTATCCTCCTCGGTCACACACATATGAACCTGCATTATGGATATTATTATGGCACCCTTTCTGCAAGAACAGTTTTAGTGCTAGAGGATAGCACCTGGATTTACAGTGACTTGGAAATGAAATACTCCTTGCATTTTTATTAACCAGTCATAAATCTAATACTCAGGAGGGAAACAACAAGTATGTTTATTCTGCAGCTGTTACCACAGATATGCCTGCTAGTTTTAAGCTAGTACTCACGTATTTATGATAGCAGAATACAAAATAGACTGCAACCTGAGAAGCTATGCCAAACAGAGTCACTGTCATGACTTCAGAATGGACATTATTGTTATTTAGTTCTTTAGCTTCAACTGATTCACTTCTCATCTGTGAATAGATAAAATTATTTTCATGGGGGACCATTTGTTAACTCTCACACAGGCTTTGACAGCTTCTGTACAAGCCCACTGAATTAAATCTGAAAGAGGAAAAGGATGAAACCCAGCAGCTTTACCTTAATCTGTTTTACTCACACCACAATTTGAAGAGATTTTCTTCAGGCTTTACAGCCCTGAGCAATAATCTCTCAGACCGAGAGCTGATGAGTGGGTGGGAGAGTTTCTGGCACTGAAGAGGTGAGCTAACGCTGCAGCACAACGAGGCTCTTTGGCCCTTTTCTTTGTTATTTTAAGAAGTAATGGTCAACCATTAACTCGTTTTGCCGTTGTTATTTGCTCAGTAAATAATAGTCAGGATTCGAGCACTAAGGCAATCTCAAGTCAATAAAATAAAGTGTTCAGGTAAGGTTTGCTTGCATTTGACAGTTTAATTCCACCTGATGGCTTCTATAAAAAGTACTATGTGAAGCTTCCCGTTGCCAGGGGCAAGTACATATTTTTTACTTACAGTATTTACACAACAGTGCTGAAAAACAGGATGAAACACAAAAGAATTGATGCTGTGGTGTGAAATGTGTGCTGTGCTAGGCTACAGTGTCAGCTGGGGGGTTATTTGGCAGGCAACACCACCCCGAGAGAACTGAGCTAGTAGAAGTACTGGAAGTGTTATTGTCTTAATATTTCTGAGCTGGTTGATATTTCTTGGAAGTGGTATCTTAGCTCAAGTGAAGCACTGGGCTAGCTTGACTTTTTCTATGCTGCATGATACTGTGTCTTCAGTAATGTTCTGCAACACCCCGTGCTTCAGGTAGGTCTTAGGTACATAAATTCAAAGCATTTAAGAATCTCCATTCCTGGTACATTGTTACTAGTTTGAAGGAGAGGCATGGACACTGAACAGGCAGCCAGCAGCCTGAATTGGTAGGATTTAAATGGAAATTGTGGTACCATCAAGAATTAAAGTCGATTTCACATCTAACTAGACAGAAATAACTGGCCTGGAGAGGTTATGTTTGTCTAAGTAACATAGTTTTCATATGTAAGGATCTTTTACTTGAGCAACAAGATTTTTTGTCTTGGGGAAAACTACTGAAAAGACTTTCAGTAGGATCGTTGTTTTTGAAAGAAGTTGTTGTCAACTGTGACAAGCACTTAATACATTGAAAGAGAATGCTGGTAGATATGAATTTTTTGACTTTATGGCCTATGTTACCTTTTTCTTTTGCTATTGATCTTACCTTGCACACTTCTAACAGTAGTTTACAAGGTTAGAGATAAGGTCACCTGATTTTTGCGTCACAGGAGATTTCACATAGGAGAAGATAGTGAAAACCATCTCTCATCAAGGAATCTTTCAGGTGTGATGGAAGGAAAATTGTGAGGTACTTTGTTGTTCCTAGCCATCTAGGTTTGGGAGAAGCTGGTCAGTTTATGTGGTTTTAATCAGTTTGGGAGGAAAAATATTTATTTAATTATTTATGTATTACCAACATGGAATTAATGGACAATTAGTAACTATACTTTCAGGATCCATATCAGAAATGTAGCAGGTAAAAGACAATATGATATGCTTGCAAAACATCAATAAACACCTACCATTTTCTGAAGACCTTTCTAGAACTAATTACAAGAAGGTCAGACCTTGCAGGTATCCTTTTCCACTTTTCCTCTTTCCAGTGTGTGAGGTTGGCTTTTTGAATTCAGAATTCACATTTTCAAGAAGAAGTTTTAGAAACCTAACTGGAGCTCGCTTCTTTTTTTGTAACTCCTCGGATCTGCATTTGGTTTATTGTCATTGAAAGTTTGGGAAGTAAAAACTAATTTGTGTTGTCTGTGTAGGAACACTATCTTAGAAGGCCCTATGGAATTAGGTTCTAACTCTTGCCATTCAGTCTCTGCTTTACAATACACATTGTCCCACAGATGTTGCCGTGATCCTCTTGGTACACTGCACTCTGGTCATAGATCCTTTGGAATATGGATTATCATCTCTGTCTTTTATGTGTGGCATGTGCCCTACTTTTAAATAATAGTGTCGCTCAGAAAATGAAAGTACAAAACAATGTAAACCTCGTTGCATGTTTTTCCTTTTTAATTTTATTTAACTGTTTAATAAGAACAATGTGCAACAGACAAGTGTTGATCTGGAATAAGCTGATGTCAGTTTCAGAGGGTATCCTTTTTTGTTCTGATATCATAATGAAATAATCAAAATACACATCCCATGCTTTTATTATGAAGACATATTTGCTTGTTTAATACAACTAACACGCTGTGTCAGACATGCTTTCCCATCCCAAGTGGCATGTTGGCAGGGAAGTAGTAATACTTCAGTTCCTTTTGTGTTGATTCTTTCAAAAGGCAGTGCTTCTTTGATTAATATCATCTTCCCACCATCTCTTGTACTGTCATCATTAAAAAGTACGCTCCAGCCAGAAACTATCAACTACTGCAGGTCTGAAAAAAAACCTGCCCCAAATACTATTCAGACTGGTAGGTGAGAAGCTAGAAATGCTGTTGTGTCATTTGTTTAGACAGAATCACCTGCAAAAATGCACACAATACCACTCATAGACTTTCAAAAACCTTCAGTAAGATTTGATGACAGTAAGTTTATTGCTTTCATCACAAGATTTTGCTTTAAAATTTTTTATTTTTGTGCAGATAATCTTTTTCACTAGATCTTTCACTGTTTCATCTGATGTGCAAAATTATCTCTGTAGATAAGTATGTTGTCTGTGATTGGTTGCAAAAACATCTAATAACTGGAATTCTGTGCTGGTGTCTTTTTTAAAAACTAGAAAACAAGTAGCGAGTAATTATCAAAGAAATTATTTTCTATATAAAGCAGAAAAATAACTATAGCCAGAGGTTCCCCAATGGTGTGTTTTGGACACAGTTCTGCAAAGATCTGCTCGAGAGCACGGCAGTGGATTTTTCAAGCACTCACGGACAGTAAAAGCAGCAGGAATGAAAGTTACAATCTACTGTACAGACAAGTATAATGAAAGGTGATTAAATACTACAATTCATTTCTTACTGTTTCATTATTCTGAGCTACTTGTTTCTTATGAAGAATATCAGAGTTCTTCAAAGAGAAAATGGAGTGAGCTGTAGAACTGGGGAATTTACGTTTGTTTCAGGCATTAGGAAAGGACAGAGGGTTTTTTATTTTTATGTAATTGTAATATAGGAGGCTTTTTCGTACATGTCTTACCTATGTAAGGAGGGAAAGTTTTATCTTTATTTCTCTCAATTACTTCATGTGGAGACAGTGGAAATGTAAATAAAACAGATGTATGAAAAAAGGAAATAGGGTCTGATAATATGCTGAGTAAGCAAAATATCACAAGACACTGCTGCCTCCTAGTTCGCGTATATTAAATTACTTTTAAGATGAACAGGACTCCTAAGTGAACTGAAATTATCCTTCATTAATTTCTTCAGTTTTCTTCTTTTCAAGTTCCATTTTAATGCTGAGACAGAGAATGGGGAGAAAGAGTTATTGACAAATACATCACCTGACTGCTATTATAGCTGTTTCATGTTTTTAAAGTCTCAAGTGTACTTTACAGTTCTAGATGTGTTTTAACTCTACTTTTTTTGTTTAGATTATTGATATTAGTTAGCCTTATTTCAATAAATAACAGTCTCTTAGAGGAAGTGCTTGGAGTCAGTTAAGAAAAAATGACAACAAAGTATTCTGTTATTCTTATGTATTTCTACACTGGCACAGCATATTAAAGGTGGAGACCCATGAAATACTGACTTTAAAATAAATGAAATAAATTACTTTGCAGGAGTGTGATCTTAGTATGATTACTGAAAAAACAAACAGAAATCGAAACAAGCACATATCCCCCCACCAACATTATAAATATCTATCATGAATATCTAACAACTGTTTAATCATATATCTAACCAAACAGCCATTGCTCCTTTATCCAGCTGAATTGTTTTGATTCTTACCTTGACTTGCAGATGAATTGCAATTCAGAGTTTTACTGAGGTGCTGGAGAATGAAAAAAAATTGTTATCAGACATTAAAGGATGCTAATTTTACACTAAGACTTGGTGCTGAAATATGGAAGCTTTATAGTAGTTGCTTTGATGATTCCGAGAAGATTTAATGTTCCTAAATCAAGCTTCAGATGATGATAATATTAAGCTTTGAGCCATGTCTACACTGTACATTATAGTACTGTTCAGAAGTACTTGAGGATTTTGGTTCCCAGCACTGCAGGGTGAGCTGTATACACATTCCAGACTTAGCACTGAGTCAAATATTCAGCTCTGAGCTGTGTAGAAACACCTTCAACCTTGCTGTGCTGAAGATGGATTTCCATCAATTACTGCTGTGTGGGTCACTTTCACAGATTTTGCTGGCACTGAGCATTTAAACTGGTGCTATATACATTTGTATTGACAAATGGATACATTACTGGTAGGCTTACCAAAAATATTTAGTCAATATTTCTTACTGTGTTATAAACATGTGACTTTTGTTCCTGATTCTTTTGACAAACAAAATAAATGTTTAAAAAATGTTTGTGGTGTAACATGCACTACTTTTTACGTAAGTTTAATTGCTAATGACTTGATTTAAACCTTTCAGTTACAGCGTAGGCACAAAGGATAATAAATTATCCTCAGTGATAGTTTGTAGATAGACCTCCATTGCAGTGCTAAGTATTTTCTCTAGAATTATTGTCAGAAGTGTAATAATTGTCCATCCTCAGATTTGTATTAGCTATCAAGCAATTAATTCTATCCGAACACTTTAGAATGAAAAAAACAATCTTGCAGGTGCAAGTAATTAACAAACTTTTTTACATACCAACCAAGAAGTCAGGATTAGATAAAGAAGAACTAGGATTTTATTTTGTTTTAGCTACCCATTACTCTATCTTCATTACAGTATTAATGTTATCCATAAAATTCATCCGATTACCTCTGACATCCAGTCTGCACTCTATTTCAGCTTCCCCACACTCATTAACAGCTTTACAGGTGTAAATGCCTCCGTCAAATGGAGTGGGTTTCCGGATTTCCAGGGTCAACACACCCTGCTTACTGAACATGCGGTATTTGGCATCCCCAGAGAGATCCATTTTGTTTTTGTACCAGGATATCTTTGGCTGAAGAACAAAGAACAAGAATTTTAAAATAGAAGGTAGAAAATGAAATATTTACACCTGATCTTGCAGTTTTATTTTAGCCATCAAAGGCTAAATAGCATTATGAGGGCTATTAACAGTGTTAATAATTTTTCAAGGAACAACTCATTCAGTACAAACTTGTGAAACCAATAATTCTGAAGTTCAATACTTCTTTTAACTGTCAAATAACGTGTAGAAAATGTAGGTCTGTATCCTATTTTACTGCAATTTAAAAAACCCTCAACCTTACAAACTGGCTACAAATTCATTCATTCATTCATGAGTTATTTAATTGTGCTTGTTAGAATATGCTTGAATGCTACAAGAATGTTACAGAAGTGTCACAAAGTTCCTCATACATTAAGTGGCCAAACTGGGATGCCAAGGTTTGGGCTGGAAAAGGATTTTCCAAAGCCTTTAGCGTATGTTCAGAAACTTCAGGAATTTAAAAATAAAGTTCCTGTTGGCTTCAGCTGAGGAATAAAAGTAGTTAGTTCTGTACCAGTTCAAGTCTTTATGTTTTGTTTCCTGTACTTGAAAATGTGCCTTTAATTTTTATCAATGAAATTTTGAAAATGAAAGTCTGATAGAAAACAAACTGCTTTTGTTTATTTCAGGCTCATCAATACGTATATTGAAGAAATAGTCTTTAAAGAGTAGAAAACCAGGCTTTGTATTTATCCATTTTTCTTTCAGAATTAACATCTGTTTCTTCATCCCTAAAAACTAGAAGTACTGCACTGTTTTATAGACTGCCTTCAGATTTACTGAATCACTTTTGTCTTTGACCTATCAAAGGCATATCAATCCAGTGCATCCTGGT